ATTATCCAATCACTTATAGCATTGTACCTCATGACTGATCTGGATATGTTCTTTTTGACAATGAACGCAACACCATTCCTCTTCAATTTGTTATTCCCTGCATAGTAAACCATGTGGTTGTCAGATTCCAAATGGCCAATACCAGTCCATTTCAGCTCACTAATGCCTAAGATATAGATGTTGATGTGTTCCATTTCATTTTTGACAACTTCCAATTTTCCTAGATTCATTCTTCATACATTCCATGTTCCGATTTTCAGTGGATGTTTACAGCTATTTTTCTTCATTTTGATTGTGGCCCATGAGCAAATGAAGGTTTTGTGAGCATTTCTCCCCCAAGCTTAAGTCTGTTCATGTCATCATGGTCATCATGGTCAACTTTACTTTGAGGAGGCATTTTTTTTCCCAGTCGCATTCTAAGTGCCTTCCCACCTTCCGGTCCTGTATCTGACAGTGTTTCTCTGCTATTCATAGAGTTTTCAGTGACTAGTGATTTGGAAGTAGTTTGTCACTCTTTCTTCCTAGTCTGTCTTTGTTTGGAAGCTCATCTGAGACCTGTCCACCATGGATGACCCTGCTGGTTATTTAAATTATCGGTGGCATAGCCCTCAGAATCACAGCAATTCAAACCACCACAGCACGACAAACAGATGAGTGGTGGTTGCATGGTTGCTGTTAAATAGGAATCTCCTTGTGCTAGGGCCCGTAAGTCCAGCTCAAAGGCGGGATTTCCATCCTCGGATGCCAATCAAGAGGCAGAAGCGCAGCAAGAGCAACTGGGTTGTAGTGAGATGCTTTGGGCTGTGCTGTGGGTCTCTAAGTTGGTCGACCCCGCCTCAAAACCAAGATCAAATGGTTAGGCTAGGTTGGCACTCTCGCGTCCAGGGTAAGTAGGACAGGTTGGCTGGCCCCTGCAGTCTCTTCCCGCTAGGCAGCGTCTCCCCATCGACCTGGTCTCCAGACACCTCTCACCCTGCCACTCCGTGGTCTGGGTTTCATTTAACACCTCCACCAGGTCTGCGCAGTTCTCGCACATCATTTAACTGCTGTCCTCCATGATAGAAGCCCTCGTGCAACCCCTTTCTAGCAATCCATAATCCTGTAGTATTCACCAGCATTGGTAATCTCTGCATATGTTGTATTTATAGTTCAATAGATTACATAATACCTCGATCTCTGAGAGTTGGAGACAAACCTAATTCTTACCAAGTTCTCCAAGTGTCTTGTGCATTTGGTTGCACTCTTCAGTAATTTGATGCTTTTTGATTTTTAAAGTGAAACGATTTGATAAACATGCACATTCAGCACAACAGTCACCCGTAAGACTTTACTTCTAAAGAAATAAATGTCACCGAACCATTTCTCATGACTGACTTTTTCCACGTTGTGTTTTTTTTCTTCAGAGAGTTTTGTGACTTCTCCACATTTAGAAGGTTTGGCTACCACCATAAGTGCAAACATCCAGAAGGCATAACATGTAAAAATCCAAAGTTTAAAAAACACATGGGGGGGGGTGTGCAGATATTGCAGTTACAATTTTTAAAAAATCTTATTAGTTACCAATCATTTACTCCTTAGAACATACCTTCTTACATTTTGGAACCAAATAGTTTAGTTCTCTTTCAATCAGTACCTTCCCTTATATTAAATTTTCTTTGTGAGGGCTTTAGAAAACAAAACAACAGTTTCCCCTTCATAACTAGGCCGTCTGTTACTATCCCTGAAATATGGGTGCTCTTGTAGACTGCCTTTAAATAATGCATTTGTCCTGCTGCAGTGTGTGTCTGATTATGTGTTTGTGTGTGGGTTTGTGTTCGTGCTTGCCAATAACAGCAGAGAGAAATGCCAAGACAAGATGGTTCAAACTGATATAATAGAGAAAAACATGTGATATTCTGATACTAACATTTTGTTTACTCTTCAGCGAATAAGTTATTAAAAGTTGAAATCAAGTGTTATGACTCTCAGCAACTCTCCACATGTAACATTCTTCTTTTTTCCGGGTCTTTCCTGTGTCCATATTGGACGCCTGTATTTTTAAATTTGTTTCCTCTTTTATGATAACGTTCACTGGAGAGTCTCTGACCACTCCAACTATCTTGCAATGTACTATAGAGAATTGCTGCAACACCCAGTAATTGACATCCTTCTCCAAATTTCCTCATCAAAACGCATTGGCATGATAACAAAAGTCCTTCTGAGTATTGTTGATTCTAGAAAGTTTCCTCAGGTGGGTGGACATACATTCTGCATGCATTTCCATTATCTTCTTCGTGTCCGTCTCCACCTTGTTAATTAATTGTTACGCTCTCTCTCCCAGAGAGGCTGTTTGAACTAAGTTCTCAGGTAACTGGCACAATTGCAATATATTTCCAAAAGAGTGGCCTCTGCCATGTCAGTCCCATCAGAGATATTGTCTTTTCCAATGCAAGTTATATTTACCTTTTACTCCCAATGGGTAATACCTGAATAATCTCGTGGGAAACTGTATGGTCTTTCAATTTTCTTTAATATAAGTATGAGACCTTGAAAGGTTTAAAACTATTTTAAACCACCAGAATTTCCAAGACACACACATAAATTTTCTCAGTACTAATGGCCAAATACATGGCGTCATGGAATCCCAGCGGAGGTGTGGTTTGTTTACCTCAGATCAAAATAGAAGCAGAAAGAGTTATCATAGATCTTTTCAGTGTTAGAGGTGAATTTATTTTTTATGTTACTCATATTTTAAAAGCATGTAAATTTGTATGGAGAATTAAGATATTCAATAGACTATTGTAAATAAATTGTGTAAAATTACCTTATTTTACAAGATAGAACTAATTTGTCAACAAAAACTTCCCTAAAGGCTGGAGAGAAGGAACAGGTAGACATCACTGTTGCTGTTGTTAAGTGCTGTCCAGTCAGTGCCAACTCATAGCGACCCTGTATAGGGTTTCCAAAGGAGCTCTGGTAGCATTGTGGTTAAGAATTGGGCCGCTAATCTCACGATAAGCAGTTTGAAACTACCAGCTGTTCCGCAGGAGAAAGATGAGGCGTTCTGCTCCTGTAAAGATTTACAGCCTCAGAAATCCTATGCAGGGTCGCTATGAGTTGGAACCAACTCCATGGCACATAACAACAACAACAACATAGGGTTTCCAAGGAGAAACTGATGGGTTTGAACTGCCAACTTTGCAGTTAGCAGTTCAGTGCTGGTCCTACAACAGCACACCAGGACTCCATTATAACTATGGGATGATGAAATATTTGAGGTTGGAATGTTCTTTTAAGCAGCATTTTCCTTCAAGTGAAATCAAATATAAATTGTACTTTGTTACTTTAATTCTCTTGTAGGACAGCTGTAAGATATAAGACTTTAAATTTGAAATGAAAATTACAGCTTCAAAATATGTGTTTTGTAATTCTAAATATTGGAATTTCATTCACAGGGATTATGACACTTTTTTTTTTTAATGACTGAACTCATACTTTTTAGATTTTGGTAAGATTGTTTTTCCTTCATATGCTAAGTATGAGGTGATCAATATGGGTTATGGGTCAAGAGTAAATTGCTTCTTTGCTATAATCTGAAATTTTATTTTTCTTACTAAAATAAGTTTTTATTTTTTTTAGTAATCGCCATGTGTTGATTATTTTAAAATATGTTCTTTTATTTATTTATTCATCCATACACTTAAAAATTACTGCTGAGGATCTACTTTCAATGTGAGCTATGCTAGATAGTCAGAATGCAAAAATGAAAAAAAGATATAAAGACAACTGTATTTTCTGAGTGGGTAAGAGTATAGGCATATAATGAAACTATAAATAAGGAAAATATAAATAGCAAAAATACTAAAGTGAGTGATAAAGAAGGATTCTTCTTAATTTTCAGAAACCTTCTGGATTTCTATCTGTATTGGATGAAGAATGTCAAATAATTTGGTCCATGGAAACAAACCTTCCAAAAAAGTTACAAAGTCTCCTGGAGTCCTCAAACAGAAATGCAGTACATTCTCCAGTTAAGGACGGGAACGGAAATGTCACTCTCAAAGACCAAGGCACAGCCTTCACCATTATGCACTATGCGGGAAGGGTAAGTTGAAAGAACTACGTCATTAATTACATGAAGTAATGGACAAAAGATTGTGTAAAGAGTGAGCACTTGACTGCTAACTGAAAAAATCTGCAGTATGCTCCCAACATTGGCTCCACAGGAAACTATTACAGCTTCTGTAAACATTGTGTTACTGCCAAGTGCCGTTAAGTCAGTTCCGACTCATAGTGACCCTGTATGGGTTTACCAAGGAGCAACTGGTGGGTTTAGATTGCTGACCTTTTGGTTTTCAGTCCAGTGCTGTTCCTGCAACACCTTTGGGGCAGTTCTGTTCTGTCTCAGAAGGTTACTATAAGTCAAAATCTACTGGAGAGCACAGAACAAAATTTCAAAATTCTCAAGCTTTTTTCTTGACCTTGAATTAGAGTTAGAATCCATGTAACTACACCTAACAACAACAACAACATAGACACATAGACAAAAGGCCTAGGGACAAACATGGCTGTTTTTGCTGTTAAGTGCTGTTAAGTTGGTTCAAACTCATAGCAATCCTGTGTAGGGTTTCCAAAGAGCAACCGGTGGGTTTGAACCACCGACCTTGAAGTTCAAACTAAATACTAGTTTTAAAATTTTATTATTATGTGTCGCCAAGTTTGGCGTCATCTTCACAATTGTCGCAATCTTGTACTCCATTATTACAACCACAATGACAACCTACCTCCTTGAGGATCATCCTTTTTTTTTATGCATCCTCTACTTTACCAAGCATAACGTCCTCCAAAAACTGATTCTTATTGATAACACGCTCAAGGGATGTGATAGAAAGTCTCACCATCATGCTTCTAAGACACATTCTGTATGTACTTGCCAAGGCAGATTTGTGCGTTCTTCCAGCAGTCTTTGCTATGCTCAGTATTCTTCAGAAACACCCTAATTCAAATGCATTGTTTTTTCTTTAGTCTTCCTTTTCCACTGCCTAGCATCCGTATGCATATGGGCAAGGAAAAATACCCTGGCTTTGGTCAGAAGCACCTTAGTCTGCCAAATGACACCTTGACTTTTGACCACTGTAAAGAAGTCGTTCACAGCAGATTTTCCCAGTGCAATACCTCATTTGATTTCTTGACTGCTGCTTTCATGGCTGTTCATTGTGGATCCAAGTAACATGAAATTCTTGACAACTTCAGTCTTTTCTCTGATTTTCTTGTTGATGGCTATTTTTCCAGTTGGGTTGAAATTTTAGTGTATTCACTAGACAAAATCTCACTTTTCTGAACTATTTCCATTTAGTCTAATAAAGAATGAACATCTTTAACGTGTGAATGACGAAACCTTCATGATGTTCCTAGTGCTATACCTCAACATGAGCAAATGAGCTCTGGATTTAATCCAAAGACATCAACCACGAACATTTCCTCAAAAACATTGGATATTTACGTTTGCTCTGGTAGCATAGTGGTTACAAATCAGGCTGCTAACCCCCAGGGTCAGCAGTTAGAAACTACCAGCCGTTCTGTGAGAGACAGATGAGGCCTTCTGCTCCTGTAAAGATTTACAGCCACTGAAACCCTGTACAGGGTCGCTTTGAGTTGGAACCAACTCCATAGCACATAACCACCACACCCTGAATATAGTTTAGGTATTAAATTATTTTTTTTCAAAGTATGAGTCTCTAAGTAAAAAGTGTTCTGCACAAACTCTCCCTTCATAAAGCAACTTTGTAAAATATGCTTCTTTCTTCACAAATTTCAAGGATTTCCTTTTGCCTATAGTAAAAATGTTATACTCCTTGAAGTAGACTTATATCCGACTTCTCCAAGATGATTATAATCCCTTCTTCTGTGACTTCTTTGTCAAAATTCCCCTTACAAGCCTTTTCAGCTATTGTTTTCCAAATGTAGTCACTCTTTTCCTGCATCTCCCACATTAAACTCACCTTTAAGACAGAACCAGTCTCCCTTGTCTTCTTTACATGATCAAATCCTATGTTGTTTTTAATATTTAAAACCTTGATCCATTAATTCTCAATTCAAATTTCATGGATAGTATATATCATCTACTTTTGAATTTTAAGCTATCTGTTAATTTCACCCACTTTGGACCTTTGGTAAAATGGTAACACAGTAGAAGGTAAATTCTGTAGTCACTGTCTTACACTTAGTCTATTTCAGTTCGTTTTAACCAGTGTTTACTGAGACTCAACTATAAACAGATACAGAGATTTAGAAAATCAAAGATGAGAAAAATATATTCCTTGCACTTCAATATCTCATAATCAAATAAGGGAAAAACAATCTAACAAATACAATATTATTTACAATATTAATACAATGATTCAATTTTCATAAGAAAGGAAGTAATTATTTAGAGAAATGTATACTAACAACTTCCAGAAGTAGTAAACTGTGGCCTAAGCCTTCAAAGATAAATTAGAACCTACTAAGTGTCAAAGAAAGGTTATTCCAATAAAATGATCGGAATTTGAATGTTTATGGTGTGTATTATTTAAGATTCAGTTGTATAGGACAGAATCCACTAAAACTATTTAAGCATAAAATAATTCTTCAGGAAATAATAATTGTATAAGCACCAGACTGCTAATGGCAAAGTTGGTGGTTCAACTCACTAGCCACTTCCCAGAAACCCTATACAGGGTTGCTATGAGTCAGAACTGACCCGATGGTACTGAGTCAACAGCAACTACAAAGGTTAAATGTTCAAGGTTGGCGTTTAAAATCATTCCACGTATAGTGACACCAAAGCAGTTACAGCCTCATCATTTGTTTTGTTGTTGTTTATAATTCTTTGTTGTTGAAAATACATACAGCAAAACAACATCCACTCAGCCATTTCTACATGTACTATTTAGTGGCCTGGATTACATTCTTCAAGTTGCTCAACAATTCTCACCCACCTTTTCCTTATGATTCTTCCACCTTTAACTATAACTCACTATTCTGTAAGCTTCCTATGTAACCTTTGAAGCTGCTGGTGTCTGTGTGATTCATATGGATAATTCTTTAAGAGAGCACAACTTCTGTAGACAGACTTTTTTTTAACTAAGTTTTATTGTTGTTAAGGGTTGCCGAGTCTGTTCCAACTCATAGCAACCCCATATAGTGTTTCCAAGGCGCACCTGATGGTTTGAACTGCCAAACTTGTGGTTCTCAGTCCATTGCTGATCCTCCATTGCCACACCAGGGATCCTTTTACAAATAAAGTGAAACTATTGTTTGATTCAAAGAATCATGACAAGCTATGGACAACATTGTGAAGTATGAGTATTCTGGAATACTTAATTTTGCTCATGAGCAATTTGTACATGGACCAAGAGGCAGTTGTTCGAACAGAACATGGAAACACTGAATGGTTTAAAATTAAGAAATGTATGTGACAGGGTTGTATTCTTTCACCATACTTATTCAACCTGAATGCTGAGCAAAATAATCGAGAGCTGGATTAAATGAAGAAAAACGTGGCATCAGGATTGGAGGAAGACTCATTAACAACCTGTAATATGCAGATGATACAAGTTTGCTTGTCGAAAGTAAAGAGGACTTAAAATATTTACTGATGAAGATCAAAGAGCACAGCCTTTGGTATGGATTCCATCTTGATGTAAAGAAAACAAAAATCCTCAACACTGGACCGATAAACAATATTCTTATCAATGGAGAAAAGACTGAAGGTGTCAAGGACTTCATTCTTCTTGGATCAACTATCAACACTCATGGAAGCAGCAGTCAGAAATCAAATGTGTATTGCATTAGGCAAATCTGTTGCACAAGACTTTTTTAAGGTGTTGAAGAGCAAAGATGTCAGTTTGAGGACTAAAGTGTCCAGTCCATGGTTTTTTGAATAACCTCATATGCATGCAAAAGCTTGAGAGTGACTAGGAAGACCGTAGAAGAATTGATGCTGAGGAGAATATTGAAAGTGCCATGGGCTGCCGAAACAACCAGTAGATCTGTGTAGTAAGAAGTGCAGCTAGAGTGCTCCTTGGAGGCCAAGATGGCCAAAATTTGTCTCTCATACTTGGGACATATTGTCAGGAAGGACCAATCACTGCAAAAGGATATCATGTTTGGTAAGGTGGAGGGTCAGAGAAAAAAAGAAAGACCCCCAGCGAGAAGGATTGGCAAAGTGGCAGCATCAGTGGGCTCAAGCATGGCAACAATTGAGAGGTTAGCCCAGGATCGGGCTGTGTTTCATTCTGTTGTGCGTAGTGTCGCTAGAGTTGGTACCAGTTTGATAGCACCTAAGAACAACAACAAATGCTTGAATCCATTGCTGCTTTCACTGTGCCAAGCCATCTAGTTGGGAGCCTCCCTCTTTTTTGCTGACCCTCCAATTTATCAAGTATGATGTCCTTCTCCAGGGATTTGTCCCTCTTTATGAAGTGCCTGAAGTATGTGAGGTAAAGTCTGGTCATCTTGGCTTCTAGGGAGCGTTCTGGTTGTACTTCTTCCAACACAGATTTGTTTGTTTTTCTGAGAGTCTATGGTATGTTTAAAATTCTTCTCCAACACCAAAACTCAAATGCATCAATTCTTATATGGTCTCTTATCTATATTGTCTAATTTTCACACATGTGTGAGCCTATTGAAAATACCATGAAGTGGGTCAAGTGCACCTTAGCACTCAAAGTGACATCTTTGCTCTTCAGTACTTTAAAGAGTTCTTGTGAAGCAAATTTGCTTCATGCGATACATCATTTGATTTCTTGACTGCCATTTCCATTAATGTTATGGTGGATTCAAGCAAAATGAAATTTTTTACAGCTTCAATCTTTTCTCCATTTATCATGGCATGATTTATTGGTCCATTGGTGAGGATTTTTACATTTAGGTGCAAATATTTTAAGCCCTGATCACTTTCAGCAAGCAAGGTTGTATCATTCGCATATCACAGTTGTTAATGAATCTTCCTCCAATTCTGATGCCACATTGTTCTTCATATAATGTAGTTTCTTGGATTATTTGCTCAGCACACAGATTGACTAAGTCTGGTGAAGGATGCAAACCTGGTGCACACACCTT